TAAAATCATGAAAATAAAACCTGTGTTTGTTTGTTTGTTTGTTTGTTTGGTTTGTTTGTTTGTTGATGGAGATAAACAGGAAGTGGAGCTCGTTCTCCAGACAGTGAGGAGGTTTATCCTCTTCTCACCTTTTCTTTCTTCAAACGTCCTTATTTCCATCCACACACCCTCCCCCTCTACTGGACCCTCCTCCTCTTCCTCTCTCCTCACCCTCACCCTCCTCCTCTTCCTCACCCTCCTCCTCCCCCTTCAAAGGAAAGGAGGGAAACAGTGTAGCAGAAAGGAAACAAGCAGAAAAGGAAGGGATAGCAATGAAAGATAGACAGATAATGAATGAATCCCAGAGGGGGAATTAAGACGTTACAGCAGTTCACATTGAAACAGCAGCAGAAAATAATAAAGTCACAACAACAACAAAAGTTTCAGATTATAGAATAAGTAAACAATAAGTAAACTTGTTTAAGAGAAAGACAGATCTGACACAGTAAGAGCAGTGCAGTGTGACTGAACACTGATATGATACAAGAATCTATGAGGATAAAGGAAAGGAAACAGATGAAGAGAAAGAGGAGAGGAAACAGGAGGAAAGAACAGAAAAGGCGAAGATGAAACGAGGAGAGGGCTAGACCCCTCGAGTGGCTTCAATTAAGAAAATTACAGAGAGAGAAACAGAGACAGAGAGAAGGAAAAACCAGAACTGTCAAACTGGGAGTTGATTACAGGGCAAACCCTCAGCCTGCAGCCCAGAGCCACGCAGCATCTAACCCCAGTCTAAACCTGAACCTGAACCCAGCCCCGACTCACGCTTATTTTAGGCTCCAGCTGCTGGAAACACTGAGTCTGCTTCAGACCGCAGTCTGAAGTCACTGATCTCCACCTTCAGCTCAGAGAGGACACTTTAATAATAATATAATAATAATACACTTTATTTATTATTTCATCTGTTTATGAACCACAAACAGCTTCAGTTCACCTCCTGGTGGAGTCTGGAATCCAGCAGTTACACCAACGTCCTGCTGTGATCGGTCGGCTGTATGGGGGTGAGTTCGGGTGAGTTAGTGGTGAGTTTGTGGTGAGTTAGTGGTGAGTTAGTGGTGAGTTCGGGTGAGTTTGTGGTGAGTTAGTGGTGAGTTCGTGGTGAGTTAGTGGTGAGTTTGTGGTGAGTTAGTGGTGAGTTAGTGGTGAGTTAGTGGTGAGTCAGTGGTGAGTTTGTGGTGAGTTCGTGGTGAGTTTGTGGTGAGTTAGTGGTGAGTTCGGGTGAGTTAGTGGTGAGTTTGTGGTGAGTTAGTGGTGGGGAGTTCGTGGTGAGTTAGTGGTGTGTTCGGGTGAGTTAGTGGTGAGTTAGTGGTGAGTTTGTCGTGAGTTAGTGGTGTGTTTTCGGGTGAGTTAGTGGTGAGTTCGGGTTAGTTAGTTGTGAGTTTGTGGTGAGTTAGTGGTGTGTTCGGGTGAGTTAGTGGTGAGTTAGTGGTCAGTTCGGGTGAGTTAGTGGTGAGTTAGTGGTGAGTTCGGGTGAGTTAGTGGTGTGTTCGGGTGAGTTAGTGGTGAGTTAGTGGTGAGTTCGGGTGAGTTAGTGGTGAGTTCGGGTGAGTTAGTGGTGAGTTTGTGGTGAGTTTGTGGTGAGTTCGGGTGAGTTAGTGGTGAGTTTGTGGTGAGTTAGTGGTGAGTTCGGGTGAGTTAGTGGTGAGTTTGTGGTGAGTTAGTGGTGAGTTAGTGGTGAGTTTGTCGTGAGTTAGTGGTGTGTTCGGGTGAGTTAGTGGTGAGTTAGTGGTGAGTTAGTGGTGAGTTAGTGGTGAGTTAGTGGTGTGTTTTCGGGTGAGTTAGTGGTGAGTTCGGGTTAGTTAGTTGTGAGTTTGTGGTGAGTTAGTGGTGTGTTCGGGTGAGTTAGTGGTGAGTTTGTGGTGAGTTAGTGGTGAGTTCGGGTGAGTTAGTGGTGAGTTTGTGGTGAGTTTGTGGTGAGTTAGTGGTGAGTTAGTGGTGAGTTAGTGGTGAGTTCGGGTGAGTTAGTGGTGGGTTTGTGGTGAGTTAGTGGTGAGTTTGTGGTGAGTTAGTGGTGAGTTTGTCGTGAGTTAGTGGTGAGTTTGGGTGAGTTAGTGGTGAGTTAGTGGTGAGTTTGTGGTGAATTTGTGGTGAGTTAGTGGTGAGTTAGTGGTGAGTTCGGGTGAGTTAGTGGTGAGCTCGGGTTAGTTAGTTGTGAGTTTGTGGTGAGTTAGTGGTGAGTTCGTGGTTAGTTAGTTGTGAGTTTGTGGTGAGTTTGGGTGAGTTAGTGGTGAGTTTATCGTGAGTTAGTGGTGAGTTAGTGGTGAGTTTGGGTGAGTTAGTGGTGAGTTTGTGGTGAGTTAGGGTGAGTTCGGGTGGGTTAGTGGTGAGTTAGTGGTGAGTTTGTGGTGAGTTAGTGGTGACCCTGACCCCTATGTTGGGAACCAGTGAACTAAACTGTATATAGTGTCTATCTCCCACAGTAACACTGATGATCAGTATTAATTCAACTTCCACTACTGATATGAACAATATGTCTGTAGGAAGAGAAACTAAATGCTCGGTCAGTCTGATGATGTGTAATAATTATAGCAGGAAATAGACCAGAATGCATTGCAGCAGGTAGGCGGATGGGATGAGTCGGGGTACACACTGATATCATCGTTCTCAGGTAATGGAGGTTTCTCCTTTAAATGCAGATACACAAGTGAATCACTTATACTGTCTGCTTGACCTCTGACCTGGAACCAGCCTCTACCTGTCTGTCTGACGAACCCTCTACCTGTCTGTCTGTCTCGTTGTCGGAGGAGTCTGACTCATCAGGATGTGACTAATCTGTAATCACACATGTACACTCTTCGTCCTCTAAGTAAAACAGAAATATTCTATTTAATTTCAGTGAACTAATTGCACATAAAAAGACGACTAATTGTTCTAATAAATGAGGATTTCAGCTCGTTGGCTCTGTGGATGCGACTCTCTGATCAGACACCTTCAATCTGACGTTGGTCCCAGATCTCCTCTAACAGCTAACTGAAGTTCCCGTCACTGTCTCACTGTGTTCAGATCCCAGAGCTCCCCCCCAGGGTGGGTCCTCCTCGTCCTCCTGGATCCACATTCCTCATCTGTCAGAAACTGTTTGTGTAAATATTTGTATGTAATGTGATTTCTTCCATTTTCTTTTTACCATTAAAAGCATTGTTGTTACCTGAATGGAGGCTGTAAGGACAGAAGGTTTTATTATTGTGTTATGGTGCAATTACCCCCAACCTGCAGGGACGACACAGCAGATTCAATTAGACCAGAATACAGCGTATACACCTACACATATACATATATCTGTCTATATACACACAGACTGTAGATACAGAAGTTAAAGATAACTTATATCTCATTTCCATCAGTTCTGTGAAGAAAATAAAACACTGTGATTAGATAATATGTGTGAGAGTAATGAAATATTTACAGCGTTAATGTGCTGCTGTCTGCGTTTACACACTTCCTGCAGTTACTGTGTTCATTGTTCAGTTCATCCACTACGTCGTCAGTTTGCTCAGTGAAACGGGTCCCTGAAGGAATCACAGCTCGCCGTCCAGAGGACGAACGCCACGCCATCAATTATCCTGTTTGATTATTCTTTACTGATTCCTGAACGACATCACAGATACACTGTAAAACAGTCTCATTGGTAAACTGTCCAAATACAGTTGTTATCAGTGTAAACAGCAATAATTACTGTAATCTCACAGATAATGACTTTTATTACACTTCTATAACTTTTAACATTCACATTAAAATAATAACAATCCAATAATAACAGCACTCTGCTGTAAATGTAAGTCTGATTATTGTATTATAGCAGAGTTCACCTGGATTTATAGATCATTGTTTTACACTGTAAATATCTATTACATTAAAAAGACTCCAGATTTTATATATATTATATATTTTATATATATTATATATATATATTATATATATTATACAGATGACTGTGAGTTCTTCTCTGTTGTTTCACTGCTTTACTGCACATTCATATTTTATTATTGATTCTGTCCCCTGCACAGTGATGTCACAGTGTACCTGGAGTGCACTGTGACATCAGACTGCTTATTGGACCAGAATAATCAGTTATTATATTTATCTTCTTCTCCCTGTTCATCTCCCCCTTTCTCTCCTTCATCTTTTATCTTTCCTGTAAAGTGCTGCTTCTCTCTCTCTCTCTCTCTCTCTCTCTCTCTCTCTCTCTCTCTCTCTCTCTCTCTCTCTCTCCTCACCTGTTTCCTCCATCTTATTTTCCTTTATTTTACCGTCATGCATCTCCTCACTCGCCCTCTGTCTTTATCTCTATATATACATCACTGCATCCCTCTCTCTATATCCCCCTCTCTCTCGTACTCTCTCTCTATATATATCCCCCTCTCTCTCTCTCTCTCTTCGCTCATTGTGACTCATGCTCTCTCTCTCACTCTCTCTCTCCACATCTGGCTTTAGGAGGAGAAAAACAGCAGATTAAGGAGTTGGACTGAACCACCGGAGCAGTTTTAACGGGGGTGCAGTAGCTGTGTGCAGCCTTTATAATATATATAATATAAAGGCTGAGCTCGCCCCCCCTCCGCGGTAATGCACGGGTCACCGGTCACCTGTCTGTTCTTCAATAATCAGCTTCATCGATCTTTAATCGGTTTCTTGGAGTATCTGAAGAGAGCGCACCCCTCCCATCGGGCAGGCAGTGGTACGGTCCAGATGGGGGGCTGGCTGTGGCAGAGCAGGGGCAGACCGAGCCGAGCCGAGCCGAGGCAGGCTGTGTGTGAATGGGGGAGACGCGCCGCGCACATCGTCCCTCTCTGGATTATTGTTCCTCTCTTTAACGCATGACATTTGTACCTGTGCGGACCCTCACCTCCCTCACCTCCGCCCCCCCCCCGCTCCTCACTGAGGAGGAGAAGAAAGGCAGCGGCGGCAGAGCGCGTGGGACCGTGGATTTAAATAACTGATTGGACTTTCTGCGCGTGCCCGTGCAGGTAGGTCCGGACCGGGTCGCGGGGTTCTGTGGGGCGGGGAGGTTTCGGGGGTTCTCCGGGTCCGGGTGGCGGATCTGGAGGGGGGAGGTGGAGGTGGAGGTGGTGGAGAAGGGGGGGTGTATGTGTGTGTGGATGTTTGGGGGGAAAACGCCTCGCCTCCTCCCGCATCACCGCTCATCTGCGGGGTTTTCTACGCGTGGAAATGAGTTTTTCCACACGCAGGGAGCGGGGTGAGGGAGCGGGGCCGGGTGGGGGTTGATACCCCAGGTAAGGGCTGCTTCTGCCCCTCGGGCTGTTGTGGAGGCACCTCGGCCTGTGAGCGCAGCGGCTCTCTCTCTGCGTCCATTTTACACGGACACTCTCTCTCGGTGCGTAAAAGCGGTCCGCGGCGTTATATGTGTGTTTTTCTCCTGTGTGGTGGAGGGGAGAGCGGTGGGGGAGGTGGGGGAGGAGGAGAGCAGAGGAGGGGGGTCTGGGAGGTAGCGAGGCTCCAGACGCCGATCCATTAAAGAAGAACAAAGGGGGGAGGCAGCAGAAAAAGCTTTAAAATCGCAGCAGAAACGCCGCAAAAAGCGCGCAGACGCGCCGCTGCCGCGCGGAAAAGCCTCGTTTACAGGTTTCTAAATCCGCCTTCATCCGTTCGTCCATGTGCCCCCATCCTCTGAACCAGCTCCTCACAGAACCGATCCTCATCGATCCGGATCGATCTCACACACGCTGATCGATGGAAACGATCATATTGAGTCAGAGCAGCTGAAGGTTATCAATCAGAGTAATCACCTGATGATCCATGTCTAAAGAGATCAATCAGTGATGTGATCAGGTCATCAATAAACAGTAAAACCTCTCCTGCCTGTCTTTATGATAATCAATAATAGAATAGTCATCAATATGATCAGTCCACCTAAATGTCTGTGATCAATAACTGATGCTCACCTATCATATCAATGATCTGATCAATGAGCCGATCAATCAGGATCAGATTCAGATGGAGATTCATTTCTGTGAACGATCAATAATCCAACTGTAAGTATTGATTATGTATCAGGAAGCGGAGGTGCGTTTATCAATCAATAGGAAGAGAATTCATTGGGACTTATTCTGATGATCAATCATTTAAATCGATCAGATTTTCTGGAGACCTAACAGACGTTTAATAAGATATTGATCAGTGAATGAAGCCAATAATCATCAGAATGATCAATAATGTATCAATAAACAAACGAAACATAAAAGTTACAACGATCCACAAATGAGACGAAGTTATTGATCAGATTAACACCAATAAATCAATAAACAAAGATCATTAAAAACCAATCTTACTGATTCTGAATCATTGAAACTAAAGTGAACAGTTCAGATCTGTAACGCTGATTATTGATCCCCATACAGTCTGATCAACACGCTTCCAATAATCAATATTAAAGTTCTGTTTAACTCTTTAAAGTTTTATTGTTTCTGTATTTAACAACAAACTACATCAGTGTGTATTGAACAGCATGAACTAACTGATCAACCAATAACATCCTGATATTCATCGTCAATCAATCAGATTCATCAGTTAGCTAGCTTACAGCGCGGCTAGAAGAAGCTAACTGTCGATGCCGATAGCTAGTTAGCTCGTGCAGCTAATGTCAGCTGACTTCGGGGTTGCAGGAACCGACAATAAGACCTCCTCCGACCGTCACCGGACTCACACTGGTTCCTCGAGTTATGGCGCTGAGGAGAGAACGCGGAGGGAGAGAGGGATAATGTGCAGCATGGCGAAGCTTCAAAGACAGGAAGTGGAACATAGAACATCTGTGAACGCCGATATCCCTCGAATGAACGCGACAATGCTACAGCGCCGTCCAACCAACAGACCACTTTACACTGAGAGAACCTCACAGAACCGACTGTCCGACTGGATCCAGTTCAGACGCAGCTTCAGTTTGCTTCCACCAACGTCCACAGTCCACACAATCAGTGATTTATTGTGAATGAATGAATGGATTTTATTTGAACGTGTGAATCCGGGTTCAACCTTTAAGACGCAGCAGCACGAGTCCTCACAAGACCCTACAACCCTAAAAACACCAGAACCAAACCCTCCTTCATCCTCTCGTCCTTCGGGTCCTCGTCATGCTGCTCACCCGTTCCTGCTTTAATAAAGAGTCTTTAAGAGACTCACACAGGTTTATAGTCGGTGGACAGTGAAGTGTCTCACACCTGCAGGACGGAGTCAGTCTCTAGTTTCAGTCTTCTTCCATACAGCATGATGTTCATTTAGTAACTGATGGTCCCATTGAGAGTAAAACAGACCATAAAGCAGGGTATGCTTTAGGGCGGGGCTACCTTGTGATTGACAGCTCATTCTCAGTGAGTCCGTCCAGCTCAACCAAACTACACAAAATACACAAACTACACAAAATATATAAAAAATACACAAAAACTGATCGATTGATGGAGAAAATGATTGACAGGTGGAATGAATGAATGAATGAATGAATATGTGAGAGCAGTAATTGGAGACGGCTGTGACCTCTGACCTTTGGCCTTTTCCCTTTGTTATTGATTTCCTGTTGTGTCTGCCCGCTGACGTTCTTCAGGTCTAATGATCGCCATCAGAGGTTAGCGTGTTAGCGTGTTAGCATTAGCTAATTAGCAGCTGAGGCTGACGGGAACGTTTCTGTTCCCACACGTCCTGGAAAACCTGGAAATCTATTAAAATAATCAAATATCCTGGAATTAATTTATGTTGAATATTTTATATCTTGTGCTGTTTGTTGCATTTAGAGGAAAGCTGCTGTCAATAGACCTTTTTCACAGCAGCCATTTGGACATGAAATAGTCGGGTAAACACAGTTAATGTTCCATTCAGGTGAAACAGTCAGCGGCCGTGTTGGCTCACTGGAAAAGCTCTGCTACACCAAATGGAACTGAGCCTTAATTTATATTGTTTACCCGACGGTTTCGTGTCCAAATGGCTGCTGTGAAAAAGGTCTATTTGGAAATAGAACAGCCAGCAGGTCCATGAAAGTGTCTCATAAACAGCATGTCTGTCCTGGAAAAGGTCCTGGAAAAGGTCCTGGAAAAGGTCCTGGCAATCAGTTAAAAAGAGCGGGAACCCGGTCTGAACCAGTGTGTTTGTCTTCGGTCTCATTTGGTTAAATCGTGGATTGATCGCTGTGTCCTTTATGATTAATAGTGAATCATATTACAGATCGTACGGCTCAACTTTACACTGTTTAATCAACGATCAATTAGATTCAGTAAGTTCGTTACTGTGTGAGAATGTAATATAAATATATATATATAAAATATATATTTAATATATATATATATTTATATTTATATATACTCTAAGTTTACATTTGAGCCAGCCGGAGCGTAGCTACATGTGTTAGCTCCTGCAGTGAGCAGCTGCAGCATTAAAGTTCACAGAGGAAGAAATCTTTATTTCAGCCAGAGTGAGACGTCTTCAGCGTGTGTGTGTGTGTGTGTGTGTGTGTGTGTGTGTGTGTGTGTGCGCAGAGTCCGTCCTGCTATTGGAAATCAATCACTGCTGTTTATTATGGAATATTGATCACATGTGTCTGACCTTGTGTGTGAGATTATAATTCAGTTGAAATCAGGTCAACCTGTAACTGTGAGTGTGTATCTTTGCACACACACACACTCTCTCTCACACACACTTACACACACCACACACACACTCTCTCTCACACACACTTACACACACACACACACACACACACACACACACACACACACGCACACACACACGTCGTTTATTAGTTTACAATTAGACTCAATCAGTAACAGAGTCAGTGTCGAGTAAAAGCTGAGTCAGCAGACAGACGGACTCTAGTTGTCTTGTCTGTCTGTCTGTCTGTCTGTCTGTCTGTCTGTCTGCCTGTCTGTCTGCCTGTCTGTCTGTTTACATTCACAGTATTATTATATATCATCTATATTCTCTGTCTCAACCTGTCGTTAGACGTAGAGGTAAAACGCTGTCAGACTGTAAACGTGGGATTTGTAGTAAATTGGTATCTCATTATTTTTACATAGTGTCTCAAAATGAAGACTTTATTGTTTTTAGGCACATTTTTAACATCCAGAGTCAATTTACAGTAAATTATTCCACCACACACACACACACACACACACACACACACACACACACACACACACACACACACACACACACACACACACACAATCTCAGGATGAGCGGAGGAAGACTGAGGAAACAATCAGCTGACACTCTTCACTTCCTCCCTCGATGCCTCCTGACCTCCAGCGTGTGTGTGTGTGTGTGTGTGTGTGTGTGTGTGTGTGTGTGTGTGTGTGTGTGTGTGTGTGTGTGTGTGTGTGTGTGTGTGTGTGTGTGTGTGTGTGTACTACAGGAATAATTTACTGTAAATTGACTCTGGATGTTAAAAATGTGCGTAAGAACAATAAACTCTTAGCGTACACATTCACCAATAAATAAAAGGTAAAACAACACAATCCTTCCTAAGCCCCGCCCCCTTTACTCTGTCCTCCAATCACAGTTGAGACAGCCCCAGTCCTCCTGTCCTAGATATGCTAATGTGCTACGCTAATCTATGACGAAAAGACAACCACATGTTAGCTAGCTAGTTAAATGTACTCTGATAGAAGAGTCGGGCCGATGTTACAGTGAACGCTAGTTAAAAAATAATCTAAATATATAAATAATAATAATATATCTGCTGTTGATTAGTTCAGATATCAGAATCAGGAAGGAGAAATTAATCTGTAATTTACTGTCAGTGTTAACCACCGTCAGTGTAAAGCACCGCCAGTGTAAAGCACCGCCAGTGTAAAGCACCGCCAGTGTAAACCACCGCCAGTGTAAAGCACCGTCAGTGTAAAGCACCGCCAGTGTAAAGCACTGGCAGTGTTAACACCCAGTGTTAACCACCATCAGTGTAAACCACCGTCAGTGTAAACCACCGCCAGTGTAAAGCACCGGCAGTGTTAACCACCGTCAGTGT